TGTGCACTAAGGCGGGTCCCTCACAAGATTAGCGTACTGTATCTGGGGAAAGATGATCATTGACATTTGCTACCTAGTCGCCAAACAACCTAGAAACAAGATTCCTAATGCCCCATCAACTGGCCTCCCTCTTGTCCCCTTTTGGTACTGGGTTGCTCTTATGGTACTGGGTGAGTACCATAAGAGCAACCAAAACTTAATTTTAATAAATTTTCTTATATCCCTGAAAATATTAAGCCTAACTGTACAAGGCCTCAACTCCCCTAATAAGAGGACGCGAGCCTTCAGATTTTTCCAATCCTCCCATGCAAACGTAATCTTTCTGCAGGAAACTAATTTCTCCAGATCATCATGCCCCAAATACTTCAGTGCCCAATTCCCTCAAATATATATGGCCAATGACTCATGCAAAAGAAAGGGAGTCCTTATCGGTTTCCGCAGGTCAGCCAACTTCACGTGTCACTCAGGGACCCGTGACCCTCAGGGTCGCTACCTGATCCTCACGGGCCTTCTGGATGATCAGGAAATTACACTCGTTTCCTACTATGCCCCAAATGTGGACCAGCTTGCTTTCTTTCGGGATCTTTTAGATAAAATACATACCTGCTCGACGGGCGCGGTCATCATGTGTGGAGATTCCAACATGGTACTGTACCCGCATTGAGACAAGTCAAGAACTTCTTCCACATGCTTGCACATGGCGAAGCCCTTTAGGGACCTAGTGTCCTCCTACTCACTTGTTGATTGCTGGAGAGAAGTCAACCCATATAAAACTGATTACACACATTACTCCCACTCTCATGCTATCCACTCCAGAATTGATCTCATTTTCACCTCTGCTACCCTGACACCTCACGTCCTCCACTCCCACATCCTGCCGGTCCCATGGTCTGATCATTCGGCTGTCACCATGATCCTCCCTGCCTTACACCCCACTCTCAACACTCTGACCTGGACCCTGAACTACTCCCTCCTCACTGACCCTGCCACCAAGATCCTCCTAGAATCCTACCTCACAGATTACATTCAAATTAACCGCACGCCAGACATTTCCCCCGTCACCCTTTGGGAGGCTCATAAGCCGATCCTAAGGGGTCGGATAATTCAATTATCTTCCCAGCTTAAGAGGGAAAGGTTGCGTAAACTACACTCTCTTGAGAGGAAATTCAGGGAAAGCTCCCAAGCCTTCTCATTAGACCCCTGCCCGGCCAATAAAACAGCGTTAGAATCGGCCCGCCAAGCCTTAAACCTCCTACTCACTGATCATGCTGCCAAACAACTCCACCGAACTGCCCATAAATTCTACCTTAAAAGCAACAAAGTCTTGCCTCCAGACTCCGGCGTTTAGACCCCGTTCGCCTACGTACCCCTGCGGAAACCCATACTAGTGCCCCAACCAAGGTCCTGGAGGTCTTCAAACAACATCTTTCAACCCTGTACGCCTCCCAAGACTCTTTCTCTACCGAACAAGCTGACCGCTTTTTCGCAGACCTAGACCTCCCCTCCCTCACGTCATTCCAAAAAGCCTCCTTTGAGGAACCCATCACAGAGCAACAGGTTCAACTAGCGATCAAATCGCTGCCCTGGGGCAAGAGGCCAGGGGTGGACGGTTTCACAGCAGCCTATTACGTCGCCTTCAAAGACCTAGCTCCCCTACTGACTGAAGCGTTCAACTCTCTTCGCAGAGGCGGATCCCTAGGCCCTGACTCCCTCACAGCCCTGATCTGTATGATACCCAAGCACTCCTCCGATCACACTAATCCCTCCAACTACAGACCGATCTCCCTACTTAATGTAAACGTTAAAATATTAAAATATGACGTTAAAATATTGGCCAAGGTGTTGGCCAATAGACATAACTGTGCGATAGGCCACCTGGTCTCAAATGACCAAGTAGGCTTCATCCCTACCAGACAAGCTAGCGATAATATTCGTAGAATCTCTCTCCTTTCCCACATAGCCAAGACTAAAAATATTCCAACCATGCTCCTGTCCCTAGATATCAAAAAAGCATTTGACAGCATCTCCTGGCCCTTATTCCATACACTGCATCACTGGGGTTTTGGAACCTTCTTTCTAAAATGGGTGTCCTCACTCTACAACAATCCGACCGCACGTGTAAAATATGCAGGTTTTTGCTCCCAACCCTTCCCGATCCTGAGGGGCACCAGACAGGGTTGTCCACTGTCCCCCCTCCTCTTTGCCCTAACGTTGGAGCCCTTAGCCCAGAAAATCCGCCGATCACCTTACATCACCGGCATAGAACACGAGAAAATCTTGCATAAGATGTGCATGTTTGCGGTTGACGCATTACTCTTTGTGACGAACTCCAAAGTGACTCTACCTAACCTCACTAAACTCCTGTCGGACTTCACCTCAATCTCTGGCCTATGTATCAATCCCTCCAAATCAACAGCCTTAAATATCACTTTACCCCCTGCGTTAGTTGACTCCCTACGAGACGCATACCCATGTTCATGGAGAACGGATCACCTTCCATATTTGGGAATCAAGTTGGGGAGCTCTTACCAATCCTTATACTCTGTAAACTATCCTGACATGCTTTCGAAATTAATTGCCATGTTAAAAACTTGGTCTCAATACCACTTATCCTGGCTAGGTAGGATAGCAGCGGTCAAGATGACTCTCTTACCCAAGATCCTGTATTTATTTAGAGTCCTGCCTGTAGCGGTCCCAGCCCTTAGAAAACTTCAAACTCATATCTTCACGTTCATATGGGGAGATAGAAAGCCTAGAATACCCAGACGTACGATGTATTTACCAAAATCTAAGGGAGGACTGGCAGTCCCACAGCTATCTAAATATTTCCTAGCGGCGCAAGTGGGTCAATTGGTAAAATACCATTGAGAGTTTGAGGCTCTGGCTTGGGTGGCCTTGGAAAACACCTTAGTGAAGCCTACATCAGTAGCCAACCTGTTATGGCTGGCTCCAAAACACAGATCCCCCATCTCAAACCCCATAACTTCTCACTCCCTCAGACTGTGGGACTCCATCAAAACACAATACAGCCTTATTTCACCACACTTACCACTCATGTCCTTCCTTGACAACCCTTCCTTCACTCCTGCTAATTCAGGGCTTGAACCATCCGCAACCTTACCTACCTGCAGGAACACAAACAACTACCAAACAAAGAGATATTCCGATATCTCCAAATTACAAATTGCATTAATACATCCACCCCAAAACAGAGGGGCCCCCGATTACTGTCCCCCTTCGAGAAAATTTGCCGCAATGGCCTGCACAGCCCTGGACTTATCTCGCTCCTTTATGCCATTCTAGTCTCCCCCACAGATATGCCCCCCCTCATATGTGAGACACTGGGACAAGGACCTTGGGTCGACTACTGCCGACGGAGTCTGGGAACAGTCCTGAGCTAATACTAGGAGCAGCTCAAGATGTGCAAGCATGCTGGAACTTAACTATAAGGTACTCATGCGCTGGTACCTGGTACCTACAACCCCGACTGCTCTCCCAACTGCTTTCGAGGTTGTCCTGATCGAGGCACTTTTTTCCACATTTGGTGGAGCTGCCCACTTTTGGGAGCTAATATTCAATATCCTCTCATCTCTGTTCTCGGTACCAATACCTAAGGACCCTTACTTTGCACTTCTCAACTGCAGGCCAGAGGGCCTCTCTCGTAGACAGTTCAACCTTTCAATGCATACCTGCACCTCCGCTAAAAGAGAGATAGCGAAGAACTGGCTGACATCTTCCCGAAGTCTCACCAGTGTCATAAATCATGTCCATTGGGTTATGGCCCATGAAAAACGAACTGCGCAACTTAGCGAAAGAATGACCAAATTTGAAAACACCTGGTCCCCATGGATAGACAAATATTTGGCACCAGGCACCCCTCGCCGCCTATGTATTATTTAACTAACCTACCATAACTGCCTTATATATCATCCTCTAACGCCACTGTACAGCCCGACTCTTCTTCCCCCCCTCTCTTTTTCTCTCTCTTCTCCCTCCTCTCTAACACCTGACCCCCCTACCGCCTGACGATCCCCTTCTCTACCTGTGTGTCCCCCCTACCTTATGTCGTCCTGTCTGTGTTTTGTGGTGTCGTTGCCTGATGCTCTAACCGGCTGGTTACAAACTAAACTAGAAGTAGCCTAGATACCGCCACCCTCTGACATTACATAGCCTTGGGAACTCCTAAGGGTACTTGAGAGGTATCCTGAGTATCTTCTAATCTACAATCCTCAGTGACGAATAATTAACTGACCCCTCTTCTCATGTAGGATCCCAGCTAGTTTATAGGCCATACGTACAAATGCTATGACAATATTGCATATATATATAATATGATTTTTCCCGAGGACCACTGTCTAACCAGGTCTACTACCCCGTCAATGTGATAGACCCGAAACTTGTAACCACCCCCTATCTGAATACCAATATGTATTTAACTACTACTACTACTACATGTCATACTGTTGATGCTACGGTCTGCGCACCATCACTAATCACCACCAGATAACCAGGGATCGATCCTCCTCACATCCTTTCGGCCAGAGCTCAGAACTGTCAGAGCTCCGGCCGAAGGAAGCCAGAGCTGCAGGCCACATAGTACCGGCTCGCGGGCCGGAGTTGGTCAGCGGACCAGTACTTGGAGACCCAAATTTCCACTCGCCCTCACTTTATTTTTACTCGCCAAATGCGAGCATGCGAAATGTTGGAAATTTTGAGCCCTGTTTAAAGTATGAGAGATATGCAGGGACTTCTATTGCTGATAAACTGATGAAAAGTTCCCTGGCTTTCATTCTGAAACTCTGGCTTCAACACTGATGCAGAAGAGTTATGCAAATCAGGAAATCTGAATTAATTTCATAATTATTATTATAATAATTTGTAATATTATACTGTGATCCCAAAGTTCATATTAATGCCAAGCAGAAAAAACTATCTCAACAGTTAAAAAGGATAACATACTTCTAAATATTTGTCAATTTACAAAAGAAGAAGTTTATTACGTTTTTTTGAGGAGGGCACTGAAATCAAGTTCCCCGGAATCATCTCTTTTTCTTCCATCTCCACTGGTTCTAAAGGCAAAAATAAATTATTGTTAGCCATTTGTAAAGCTCTGGATTTAGATATTACCTTCATGCAACATTAAAAACTCTGCATACTTACCAGGCAAGCATGAAAATTAGGGATCTGCCGAACATATCGGCCGAAAGTTTTCCTGCTGATACAGCGTTGCATCTGTGCTTTCTTCCCTCCCCGCTGGGCGCTGCTCTGTGTCCCAGCGGGGAGGAGAAAAACTGTCACAGGCGGCCGAGCGTTGCGGGAGGAGAGCTCTGTGAGTGGCCGGCGTCTCTCCTGGCGTCCATTCTGGACATTTTTATGTTACACCCATATTTAGAGTGTAACATGAAACAAGGTAAGATCGCAAACCCTCTCCCCACCCCCACTTAGCAAAATGGTGGATTTTTTTCCCCAGCAAGCTTGTTTTCCTTTTTAAATTCAGTACAGCTCTTGAACAATAAAAGTTTCTTGAACAATTCCACATTCTTTGGCAGTGAGTTCCAGACCCTAACTGATCTTACTGTGAAGAACCCCCTTCGCCCCTTGTGCTGGAATTTTTTTTCCACCAATTTTAGGTGGTGGCCTCTAGTTTTTGTAATGGAGTTAATTTTAAACAGTTTATCGCTAATGTTGCTGCCACCATTGAACATTTTGTACATGGAAATCATTTCCCCCCTTAATCTCCTCACCTCCAATGTGAACATGTTTAAATTTAGTAGCCTTGTCTCGTAGCTCTGGTCCTCCATACCCCTAATTAGTTTGGTTGCCCTCCGCTGGACTTTTTCCAACTCAAGGACATCTTTTCTTAGTACTGGTGACCAGAACTGGACCGCGTACTCCAGATGTGGTCGAACCAATGATCTATAAAGTGGCAAAATTATAGACTTGTCCCTGCAGTACATCCCCTTCTTAATACAGGACAAAACCCTGCTAGCTTTGTTTACAGCAGCCTGGCACTGAAAGCTACCTTTCAGTTTGTTGTCTACAATGACCCCCAAATCCTTCTCCATTTCTGACTCCCCTAGCGGCATACCCATAATTGTATAACCCATTTGTCTATTTTTATGTCCAAAGTGCATTACTTTGCATTTATCGACATTAAACCTCATCTGCCACATTAATGCCCACTCCCCTATTAGATCCTTTAATACGATCTGTTAATAGAGAAACTACAAATCCCATCATCCACCTCGACAGAGCGACTTGTATTTTTCTATGAAATACAAGTGCGGTGACAACACCACACTTGTAGTCAGGGGCATAACTAGAAATCACAGGGCCCAATAGCAACATTTTGTATGGGGCCCTGTGATTTCTAGTTATGTCTACTTGATATCCCAAACAACCCACCTGAGAGTGACCCAGAAGAGCCCACCATAGACTCTCTATGGTGGGTTCTGCAGGGTCTCAGCTGGGCTGGCTAAACCCTCTTACCTGTCAGCCCCGATCGCTCTCTGCCTCCTCCGTCGCTGGGCCCCGCCTCCTCCATCGCCGGCCCCGCCTCCTCCATCGATGCCAACGCCGGTGTTCTATCGAAAGCTCCGTCTTGTCAAGTTCTCCGACTGGGCACGTCACATCCAGTGACTTCCTGTAGGAGATGTACAGCAGATGGAGCTAGTGCGCATGGCCTCTTCCGCAGCTGCTGGCTGACTCAGCAGCAGCTGTGAGAAGGAAAGCGCCGCTGCACAGATCACTGACAGGTTGTCAGTGATCTGAACAGCGGCGTGTTCCTCCTCACAGCCGCCAGTGACAGCCAGCAGCCTGAGATGCCATAGCGACCCAGGCGGCCAGCACAGCATCAGGGGGATGCCATGGCCGGGCCCCCCGTGCCCCGGGCCCCATAGCGGCCGCCTGGGTTGCTATGGTGATTGTTCCGCCACTGCTTGAATCCATTGACTTCTTCCCATCCATGTCCATCCAAGGCAGGGACATGCGGTCAGGGGAGGCAGGTGGGGCAGAGCCTCACCTAGAATTATGGAGGAAAAAGCTGTCAGCTTCAAGTCTGAAGCTGACAGCTTTTTCTCCATTCAGATCGGCAGCTAACAGGTTACACAGCAGGGAAATCCTCGTCGCTGTGTAACCTGTTATGGACGGAGCACTGCCTTTTAATTACAGGCAGCGCTGCATCCAGTTTTTGACAGGTATTTAGGTTACATGGCAGCGGGCTTTCCCACTGCTTGTGTAACCTAACTATTCAAGCCAGAGCTGTCACAGCCTCTACTTTGTGTTAGAGGTGTGAGCTCTGTGGATGGCTTGGACCAATAGAAAAGCACCATTGATCCAAGCTGTCAAATCAAAAAAGTAAAAAAAAATTGATCATCTGGGACCGGGTTGGGGCAGGGCTTCAGCCAATGGGGGAGGGGAGTGACGTGCTGGGGGCGAGGCTGGGGAATGCCTCACCCGAAACAAAAGGTACCGCACGTCACTGGTCCAAGGTACAGACATGGAGTAAGATGGACGGTAGAAACAGTCTGCAGGAGCCAGAGCATTGCACCCGCAATCTAACTAACTTTGATAAACTACGCAATATAGTGGGTGAAATCAAATGGGAAAACTTTTTTTTTTAAACTACGTTTTGACCAGAAGTGGGACTGTTTCAAGAACAAATAAAAAAATGCAATTACAAAGTGTATACCGTTGGGTACCAAAAGTAAACGATCAAAAACAAAACGTATATGGCTAAATAAAACAGTAAAACAACACATTAAGGAACAGAAAGTGACATTTACTAAGTATAAAACAGAGGGGACAGTATTGGCATTCCAAAACTACAAAGAATGTAATAAAAGATGTAAACTAGTAGTTCTGGCAGCTAAAATTGATTGCGAGAAGTATATCACCACAGTTAGTAAAAGAAACCCCCCAAAAATGTTTTAATACATAAACAGTAAAAAGGGGAGAAAGGAACAGATAGGCCCAATAAAGGACGAAAATGGGAGGTTAGTAACAAACGACAGAGAGAGGGCAGAGGCACTAAATACTTTTTTCTCGTTGGTATTCACCAAGGAAAAATACGGGTTTAATGTACATGATAAATCGCATAATTTAACAGAAAATATACCTCAATGGTTGACTGAAACTGGGATACAACATAGGCTTAAACTACTTAATGCAAATAAAGCATTAGGGCCTGATAATCTACACCCTAAGATACTCAAAGAACTCAGCTAGGTCATAAAGAGACCATTGTTCCTCATTTCTAACGAATCGATAATGACGGGTAGAGTGCCACGTGACTGGCGGAGGGCTAATGTGGTACCTATATTAAAAAAAGGGTCTAAGGCCATGTTCACACCAAGCGCGGAGCAGGTTGCAGACCGGATCAAAACTGCGTCCAATGTATTCCAATGGTATTTTTAGCTCCAGTTCACATCGCAGCGTGCAGTTCCAATGCATGAAAACGCATCAAAAACGCATCGCAAAATGCATGAAAATGCCTGGAACGCACTGAAAGCCCATGTTAAACTAAAAAATTTATTATTTTTTTTAACAAAAATGGCCCGGAACGCATCAAAAACGCGGCACAATCCACTGGACTGCGTGTGTAGAAACCTGAGCGGATCTGCTCTGCATTTGGTGTGAACAAGGCCTTAATGTCAACCTGAGAACTACAGACCAGTTAGTCTGACATCCATAGTATGCAAACTGTTAAGGTGCCCATACACTGCACGATTTTCGTACGAGAATCGCGGGAAATCCCACGATCGTACGAGAATCGTGCAGTGTGAATGAAGACGTGCGACCGTTTCCACTGTACGGTCGCGCGTCTTTTGTCTAAGGAGCATGCTAGAAAACCAGCCGGGAATCGTACGATTTTCGGCTGGTTTTTAGCATGATTGTAAGATCAATGCCGCGCGGGCCAGTGTGCGCACGCGCACACTGCCTTTTCAGCATTGCGGTCATCGCAAGCCCACCCCTCAGGGGGGCGGGCCTGCGATGATCGCAAGTATGATCTGCCTGTCCAAAATGGGCAGATCATACGTTTTTTTAAATTACTTTACAACCATCGCAAGACTAAGGTCTTGCGATGGTTGTAAAGTGTATGGCCAGCTTTAGAGGGATTTATTAAGGACTACTTAGTGGAATTTGGCGAGGATCATGGCATAATAACTGACAACCAGCATGGATTTAGGAAGGATCGTTCTTGCCAGACCAACCTGCTAACCTTTTATGAAGGGGTAAGTAGAGATCTGGATAGAGGGAGGCCGGTGGACGTAGAGTATCTGGACTTTGTCAAAGCATTTGATACGGTACCACATAAACGCTTGTTATACAAGCTAAGGTCTATGGGCATAGATGAAAGAGTGTGTACGTGGATAGAAAACTGGTTACAGGAACGTGTACAAAGAGTATCAGTTAATGGCCCCTTTTCAGACTGGGTTGAGGTCATGAGTGGCGTGCCCCAGGGTTCTGTGCTGGGCCCCATGCTCTTCAACCTGTTTATTAATGATATTGGGGAGGGAGTAAATAGCCATATCTCAGTGTTTGGTATAGCAAGATGAGCAGCGCTAAGAGTTCAATTAGCTATATCTTATACAGGTGGCAGTGATTTAAACCAAAAATAGTGCTTTCTTAACACACTACTTAAATTAGATACTGCAAAGTATTTGGTGTCCAGACAATGTGATGAACTTTTAGTGTATTGTGTCAAAACATCAATATAAATATAAAGATTGTGATATAAAATACAAGCTGCTGTATTATAGACCGCTGGGTCTGAAGATGTTTAAACCGAATTTACAGCGCTAGTATGTGAATCAAATAACCATATATAAGTGTTTGTGGACTATAAGTCATACATATAGTGCCGTGTTTTTTCATCGATTACCGGTAATTTTGCTCCTAAGAGCAAAATTACACATGGACTCACATACACTTGAGCGGAGCTACATTTGAGCTGGTGTGTGCGCATACACACACACACACCAGCTCAAACATAAATGCATACATACAATAGTTTGGACTTGATGGACTTATGTCTTTATTCAACCTCAAATACTATGTAACTACCGTATGTAACTATGTAATGATTGCGATTGCAATGTTTTACTGGCTCCTACACAAAAAAAATATAAATTAACATTTCTTCTTTTATGAAGAACTATACATGTATTTATTTATTTTTTTGCAAGAGGATGAGGTTTCCTTTAAAGTGTAAGTCTGGCTAAAGCTTGTTTTCTTTGTTTTGGACAGAATGTGGTAGAGTTAGGCTTTCAGGTTTTTACTGCCATCCAGGATTCTGTTAAGGAGATTTCCTTTTACATCCACCTTCTGTTATTTGTTTTCCTGTTTCCCAGTTGCAGGACTTCCCTGCAACTGCCTAATAAAATATTATCAGCAGGACAGGAAGTGAGGTAAAATTTCTTTAATAGAGCCCAAACAATAAGAAAGTTTTTATCTTGAGATACACTGTAATACTGGTTACAAGTAGTTTCCACAATAGGAAGCAATTGTACCATGCTGACATGTGCGATTCGTTTCAGAAAGATTCGTTATTCGGACACATTTCCGTTATTTGGATATTGGATATATCCGAATCTCCAAATGGCAGAAATGGCGAATGCAAATGAATCCGAATTTCCAATAGCTAAACTTTCGGATGAAATTCGTTAGCATTAGTGTGTACAAATTTTCATTTTTGGACGAATTTCCATTACAGTAAAGTGATATTAGACAAAACAACAAAAATATATTTATTTTTTGACAGTCTGCAAAAAAAAAAAGCATGAGGTTCCCCCCCAATTAATACCAGACTCTTTAGGTCTGGTAGGAATGTTAGGGGGGACCTCTATTTAAAAATAAAAAAGTGTTTGGGTTTCCCTTTACATCTGGTAGGAATTTTTCTTTATTTAAAGATTTTATAATACAATAAACAAAACAAACAGGGAAAAGTACCATATGAAAGGAAGCCTGTCAATAAACATTGATGGCTCACCATCTAAATAAAGTAAACATGTATAAAAGTAATAAAAAGAGGGGGAAAATGGCAAATTTCAGAACAAAGTGACTTCCTCTATTCAGGGTCAATATGTGTAGAACCCTTTCTACTCCATGGATACATCTTGGTAAAGGGAGTTACCCAGTTATCTAAGCGGATAGACAACTCAGGTAAACAAGTCATAGTGAAATATATCTGTAGGAGTCAAGGAAGGATATCTGTAAAGACAGCCACTTTGAGCTTACAGACACATTGCAATGCCCGGGAGGGCCGCACAATAATCACACATGCTTAGGTTTTCACCCAAGTACTGGTCGTATAGTATAGTATACTTTATATACAGTATAGTGTATATAGAAACCAGGTACTTCATGGTAATAAAAAGTGAAAGACAGAAAAGACATACTACAAGAAGGAAAAAGGGAAGAAGGAGGTTAAGCGTTGGTAGACCTACACCCGGGCCTTAGGCACAGCGTTTACCAATACTGCCC